ATCATGTATATGTAGTCCTCCCTATAGGCTATAGACAGTTGTCTAAAGTCCCTAGGCTGCTTACAGTGCTCAATGTCCGGTGGACAGAGCCAGTAATACAAATATTACACAGCAACGAAGCAAACAAATCTCATTCCGCGAGTACTCGGAGTTTCGTGTGACAACACTCATCAGGCAGCATGTGTTTGCTTCATTGCTGTGTAATATTTGTACTCCTCCCTATATGTAGTCCTACCTAGTGGTGGAGGTGCTCAGCACGATGGCGATACTAATAGTACTCGAAGTACTGAAATGGCGTAAGACATTATTGTGTGTTCCGGCCAGTTGAATTGCTATTGCGGCGTTGGTGGCTTGTTAATGACTCATCATGGTTTAATTGCTGCTATTTCTTGCCACTGGGTATTATGAGAGATGTGCTAGCTAGCACCCTTACAGTATGAGGAAGTGGGAGCATCAGTGTCTTCAGTGACCTGCTTCTCTTGACTGTACAGTTGAAACTGCCTTCTGTGGCCAGTGTGGGTGTTCTTGTATTCGTGAAACCCGATTGATTGTCTGGGATCATGGGATGGCTTCCAGTCTCCCTCCCAAACCTTGTTTTTAAATGGAATTCTGAACAATACTACAGTCACAGTTGGTTTCTGAGAATCTGAGCTCATGAAGTCAGTTTCAACTGTTTGTGGGGACTTGACGGCGTTCCTTGCACGGAGAGCGGATGAATGACACCAACACACATTTTATTAGGTGCTGATTCGGGTGTCCACTGTCCAAGGGATGGTGTTACTGAACACAGCTTTCATGCGTGGTGGACTAACGTCGTTTGTTGGGTGTCCTGATCGTAACGTAACCGTCGTTTGTGTAGTCATGTTTTCGTTGCGTCTACCCCACGCCGGCTCTAGGATATGCCATTGCGAATGCGATGTAAATGTAGATCACGTGCGGCCTGTACATGTACATGCAGCTAGATGTCCCTGCTGTTGAAGGGGAAATCCGGACTCTTCTTGGCTTGGCATGGAGAGCAGCAGCGCCGGGCGCCCTACGGACATGCATGCGTGTACTGCAGTTGCACTGACGCAGCGCGGTGCTGCACCCGAGTTGTGGTCTCGGGTTATTCCCCGCTCCAGGCCATGCCATGCCAGGGTCTGTGCAGTGGAGGTCGCACACAGTGCACGTGCTGGGGTCAAAGTTCAGCTTTGCCAGGCGCTACGAATACATGTATGATGCCTTGATGGTGATTGTCCTCCTTTTCATGCGAGGACTCATATCACGCGAGTTGTAGCTCGTCTTCGTTGTTTCTCTGACCCGCGTCAACTGAGCGAGCTATGTGAACGTGTAGAACCCAACGTCGGAATCTTTGTTTCTGCCATTACTAAACTGAGTACAAGGTGTTCCCCGCGAGGTGCAATCAACGACCCGTGGCTTTTGGAATTTGAGGTTTTGGCAGAGGTGGCCTCTTCAAATTCTCGAGTGTCCACTTGCTGTCCACTTGTGGACGCGCTGAATTCCTGCACCACACATTATGTGACATAGGTATGCAAGTGTGCGTGTGTCGCAGAGCTGGAGGTCCGTGCTGAGGAATTCCTAGCGAGACAGAACACCAAGGAGTGTGGTGCCTGGTGAACTTGAACATGTGCACTCCAGGCTGTTCTGTGGAACGACTGCAAAGGGTGTGCCATCAGTTCCTCGCTCATTTCCCCAAGTGTCCTCTACATGTCGACATTGGTTCGCATAAGTAGCTACATGGGCAAACAATAGTTGTTCGTTCCTTCTTCCACAAGACCGTCAGCTGGCGGACAACACAGCAGTACAGATACCACGGGAAATACGTCACATGCAAGTTCAGCACAACGTTGAGCAAGCAGGGACGTGATAACCGCGAAGCAAGGACTTGCACCTAGGTTGCTGGCACGCGAAAAAAGCTTGTTCTCACTTCCTCTGTCGAAATGCCTGCAATGCCTGTGTGCATTATTTCTCTTATCTATCGATGTTATTCTGTAATGCTCAAGCCGCGAAAGACGTGTATCACAGAGTTTCCTAGTGAGTTCAATCCTGTGGAGCAAGCGGAGAGTTGAAGTAAATTTTGACTCTGGCCTGAAATCGCGTTGTGTGTGCCGGCGCAACTAACTTACTTCCCCTCTCGCCTGCTCGAGCTGCCCCACCCGGCATCGTCGCGTGAATCACCATCAGATTCTCTCACTCTTCCACTCTCAACCTCTCGCCTAGCCTGCCATTCACCGGGGCTCAATAATCGTCCATACGCTACCATAGATTCGCTGTCCACTGCTTCACCAAACAGTACTTGACACGACTAGGTTTCTAACACGAAATTCGGATGCTTTCGGCTGACGCAGAACGGTAGACCTGCGTTGTACCTCCAGTCACAGGCGCTGGATGGGCGCAATGATCAATGGTTGCATTCTGTGGCTGGGATAGCTCTCTCTGTTGGCGCTGCCTCTCTACCCATTGCGCACGCCGGAAGAAGCTCTTCTGGCGCCTACTCCACGCTTTTCAAGCAGCCACAGTACACTACTGCATTGTAGCTGAACTGGCTTCCCTGGATAGATCCGACGCAGCCATACTGCCCATAGTGACTTTGTCACAGTTTGTGCTGAAGATTGGTCCTCGGTTTGAAGTTCTGCACGCATGGCGGTCTTACTTTTCAGCGTGTGAGTGCGAGCGGGCAAGTGCTAGGTAGCCGTCAAGGCGAGTTTCCCGTCGCTGTCGATTCAGTTGGCATGCTGGCCGAGAGAGATTATCTGCTACTACTACTAGTGCTAGGACTGTGTATCAGTGACCAGGTGACGGCGCGCGGGAGAGCAGATCGAGGGGGAAACTAACTTGTCGAGGACTACCTCCCGCTGTTGGTACATCCATCGTGCGGAATGACGCTCTGAAGTGGAGGAACTGGAGACCATCGGAGACAAAGCAAAAGTCGAGCGGACGTCTCTTTGTCGTCAAGCCACCGTGACGGGTGAGGCGTTTTCAAGTGTTTCTGTGTGTGCGAGGAAGATTTCCGTGTGTGTTATCGCCAGTATCGGTGTCATCATATTGGCTTGCGGTGCATGGGTATCCGTCGAAATAAACAAAGCGTCCCTGATCTACTCATCCGCATTGTGCTCGCTGTGGGCGACCAGGTTTCTCACTGGCGTCCTACCTACTCGCAGTGCTTTCGGGCTGACGGGGTGGTGGCGCTGGTGGGATGTCCGCTCGCACGTGTTTGCCTTGTAATTGTCGAGTATCCGTTGCTTGCGTGCGTGCATTAGTCGAGAGAGATAAGGCCAGGTGACTGTCAGAAGAGTTACCTGTGGGACAACGGCGTGATAACCGCGAAAGCTAGTAATAATAATAGTAATAATAATACTTTGCTTAGGAAAAGTATTGCTTTGGTCAGGGGTGGAATCAGAGCTTGTTTGTTCGGCTGTACTTTGATGGAAGACTGAACAAACAGAATGTCAACCCACTACCTGCCAGCTAGTTCTCTCTGTTTGACCAGCAGCACCGTCAAGTGAAGCCTAGCGACACAGCACAAACGGAGCGTATCCAAAACAAACTGACGGAGTAGTACAGAGCTACTCAGAATTTGGCATGATGATGGTGGTTATTGGCCTTTCTCACTGTGAACTACGGAAGAGGAAACGAGCCAGGTGTTCACGGAGAAAATCAGTTTCTGAAATTCGAAGCAAGCGTCTGGTGTGGGGACTTGGCACGAGTGATTGTCGTGTCATGTGTGTGTGTGTGTGTGTGTGTGTGTGTGTGTGTGTGTGTGTGTGTATGTGTGTGTGTGTGTGTGTGTGTGTGTGTGCGCGTGTGTGTGTGTGTGTGTGTGTGTGTGTGTGTGTGTGTGTGTGTGTGTGTGTGTGTGTGTGCGTGTGTGTGTATGTGTGTATCGTGTTCCTAACCCAGCTCATCGTTTTCTTGAAAAGAATTTCTGTAATTTTGCAAGCACTGCAAAATATACAGTAAAATATTGAGTGTAGGCTAAGAAGAATTGTTACATCCCGTGACAACACACGGGCAGCACGTCATCCTGCAACTTTAAATACATGCGGCAGGTTTGATACTAAGTTAGTACAACTTCACTATTGAAATGGAGCAACTAACGCATGCAGTTAACTTTTAAATGTCACCCAAAGGACTTCAGAACTTTTCCTGAAATGCGACTTTGTCTAAGAGCAACAAGAAGGCCTCGGGCTAACACGGCGTGTGGCCATGATTGTTTCAATCATGTTCTTGTTGAGTAAAGTTGTTACCTTACATGTCTGTGCCCCTGCTGTAGAACTAACGTTAGGCTATTACTGTACATGCTGTATCAAAAGAATAGTGTACAAAAAGATAGAGAGAGAGAGAGAGTCACAATGCTGGGATAAGGATAACCACTTGTCTGACAACAACGGGCTTATACATATCTTTCTGTTGCCCGATGATTGCATAGCATGAAACTGCCAAAGAGTTGCTGGTCTTGCACCTTGTCGTTCACTGTACATGTCCATGTACAGTTGCGCTCACTGAAATACGACCTAAAGTGTAAAATCTGGCACCCGGGGGACCAGATCTGGTTACATCACTGTACTTGTACATGTGTACACGTCCAGCCGCATTCGTATCACTTCCAGGGCGTCAAGGTCCGTGCAAGTTGAGGGCACCAAATATGCACTTTGGGTTGGATGGGCGGGTTGTATTTCGCCGAGCGCAACTGCACATGTCCCTGTACATGCTAACCCATTCTCTCCTCTTCTAACTTGCCTACTTGTGAGAAGGCACCTTTGCCTGTTTGCCACGGTACGGCTGTACGCCTATAAATACAAACAGCAATGACAACATCAACATGCACAGCCGATGTTGTTGCCATAGTTACCAACCAACCATATCCACCGCGTGCCATGTTTTAAGGTGGCCGAGAATTCCGGTGTATGCTGACGCTGGCGTGATGCATGTGACGTGTCTTACCTAATGTACTCTCAATGTTCTGTATGTCCATGTGGTGTGTGTGTGTGTGTGTTTAGGTGGCTGCTGGACAGTGCAGTTAGGCAAGGTCGTGTTCTTCTCGCCATCGCCGAGAAGCCCGGAGCAGTGGAGCACAGACGTGGCGGCGAACCAACGCTGACATCCTACAACAGGAGAGGTAAGCATGAAGCTTTTGCAGTCCAGTAAAGCTCAGTGTGTCTAGCCTACGAGAATAAGAGGATGGAAAAAGTTTTTTTACTCCGAGTTTCACGCACTAAGCGATCATCAGAAAACAGCCTACATGTAGCCTGCATGTAGCGAAGATCAGTGTTTGTAGCGCGACAGCCAAGATCAGTGTTTGTAGCCCAGCCAAGATCAGTGTTTGTAGCGCGACAGCCAAGATCAGGAGAGGGAAAAGCCGAACGCTCGAACAAGACCAATCTTGATCGGAGCATTGATAATAGTCCATAGTCAATTGCGTCTTTGTGTGGAAAGTGTAATCACTCCCCTCTAGATATGCACAGATTATGTAGTTTAATCTAACACTTCCACACGGGAACTGAAGATAACCATTAATGAAATCTCACTTCGACACTCTAAATACGGTGCCTTCACTGCGAATAGAATCGATTTTACTCCACCAAATGTTTGTGCCTAGCCCAACACCGGGGTGGAAAAGTTCAGTTGTAACTAAAGTTCGGATAAGGGCACAGTGCACTATCCTACAATCCTTTCACAGTTACACTATAGCTCAGTGATTAGAGTGCCGCTGGCCTCAAGCAATGGTCCCTGGTTCGAGTCCTGGACGTGACAGTCATTTTTCTCCAGCCTCATTTTTCCCTTTTCCAACGCCATTGACCAATGAGTAATCCTTTCATATTGGCTTTCCTTTGTGTCCATGCCCAGGTTCGCTGATCAGTGATCTGATCATCCACAGTGAGATTTCAGAGAGCCTGTCGATATCGGAGGGCATTGACGAGGAAGGAGAAGCTGACCAGCAGCAGCACGACGACGACCATCGGCGTCATTCTCGGCAAGACTCGGCGGACATGTCGCGGCGGCAGATCTCCAAGAAGGAGGCGCGATTGATGCGCGAGAGGAGCATGACCTTGCCCACACCTACACGCGCCGAGCAGCGACGATTCAAACATTCCGGCGGCTTCAAGGTTAGTGAGAAGCGGGATGATTCGTTCTTTAAAAAATGTCACGGTTCGCATGAGACTCGACTGCAAGCCGAGTTTTCCGCATCCGTAAAGAGCATCACCACCCCTTTTTTTGTTCGTTTAATTTGTTGTTCGACTCGAAATAAACAAATGAACAAAACAAAAAGTAAACAACTCCCCAAGGATCAATGGGGAGATGCACCTAAAAGCGGTGGGACTGGTTCTGATCACCTAGTCTATACTGTGTTGAACTCTACTCAGAATTGTGACGAAGAGGTTTACCTCAGAAAGCTGATGGACAATGTACTTTCGAAGTAATCTAGCGTGCTGGGTATGAGAAGACGCACTGCATAAAACAGTTACCAGTTGACATACGAAACTTGCCTTCCTTCTCTCACTCACTCGTCCACTCACTCACTTACTCACTCACTCACTCACTCACTCACTCACTCACTCACTCACTCACTCATTCATTCACTCGCTCACTCACTCACTCACTCACTCACTCATTCCCTCTCTCTGTCTCGCTCACTCACTCACTCACTCACTCACTCACTCTCTCACTTACCTTCTGTATGTGCACATGTGTGCTGCTTGTGTGTGCGCACGCATGCCTCTCACTATCTCATGCAGAAACGTGACGTACGGTTACTTCACATGGTGAACTCGGTGACCAGTGGCCTTGGTGTGGAGATAACAGGCGGCAAAGGATCATCGTTTGGTGATACCGGTATCTATGTGTCGCATGTACGCCATGGCGGTATGGCTGACCGGTATGTACACAGGACGTGTGCCAATGGAGTTGACTCACACTAGGGGGAGGGGGGGGGATTCCAGGGAATGCTAGAGCTGCTGGAATTGGTAGTGATATCTGTATGGTAGCATCGCCTACAAGTCCATCAGGGACAAGCAATCTCTCGTGCTAATACTTCATGTAGTGGTTATACGATTACATCATCAGTTGAGATGCCGCGGCTGTGAGCGATGTAGGGTGATGCACAGTGATGCACAGTGATGCACTGGTGACTCACTAGCGACCTATGTACAATGATGCACTGGTGACCCACTAGTGACTGACCCTGTAAACATGGCGGCCATACGCGGTTCCGGAAGCTACCTGTATATTTTCATGTCTCCATCTCTTGTCTAACTAGGTTTTTCTTGCCTGTTTTACGCACACACACATATACACATACACACTCTCTCTCACACACACACACTCTCTCTCTCTCTCTCTCTCTCTCTCTCTCTCTCACTCACTGTCATGAATAGAATGGGCAAGTTGCGACGCGGCGATGAGATTCTGATGGTGAACGGCCGTAGTATGATTGGCATGAGTCACGCCGAGGCACAGCACTACCTTCACGACCTGCCACCCGGCCCCATACAGGTCGTTGTGGCGCAAGTACCCGAAGCATGGCAGGTAGGTGTGGCACTAGCGTGTATCGTTACGCAACATTTGGTGGCGAAGACTCGATCTACCGGTTTAAGGGCGTGTATACCCTGGTTATAAGTTGACTACCCCCCCCCCCCCCCTTAGGCCAGTTTTAGGTCATCAAAAGGTCGACTTATAACCGGTAAAATGCGGTAATATTATTGAATTGAATCACAGTGAAGAGACTGTTATTGGTGTTAACTGTTAAGGAGTGACGTTTCGTAAATGTGCAAGTGGCTGCGCTGGAGTTTGCAGACCATGCGAAATGCAGACGTCTCTTCCGTTTTAGTGTACGGGTGTCATGCTGGGAACGTGTTTTTCATGCTGACAACGAGAACTGTATGACAATTGGTCAAATTGGCATGCGTAGCATGATATAGTGTACATGGATATAGGGAAGTTCTACTCACACTTGTAGCACGTCTATGGTGCACATACCTGTGTTATGAGGTGAGTATACCCCCCCCTCCCCCCCCCCCCTCACACACACACACATCTACACACACATCCACACACACAGTTGTGCAAGTCGCTCAGCAGTATTGCATGTGTGTGTGTGTGTGTGTGTGTGTGTGTGTGTATGTGTGTGCGTGTGTGTGTGTGGATGGGTGTATGTGCGTGTATGCGCATGTGTGTGTGTGCGTGCATACACCTCTGTGTTCTTGTAGGACACCGGTCCAAACTTGTTCCTCTCTCCAGAGCACAGCAACGGTCGGCCGTTCGCCACCAACGGAGAGCTAAGCCCGTCTTCACAGACGCAGAGTCCGCACCGTATACAGCCTGTTGCGCGAACAGCCAGCGCTCTGGTGGATCAACGGCGGCTAAAGTCTCCGATGAAGAACTCCATATCGCGTAGTCAGAGCCTCGGGTCTACGTCCAGTGACGAAATTGGCCAAGTTCAGGGTGAGTGGACGTTTGTTTGGTTTCTGTATGTGCTCTTTTGGTACTGTGAGTACACACATATTCTGCGCATATGTATGTTTTTTGACTATTTTCGGCCTGGGCACTTTTGGTTCAAAATATGTTGCGGCCGCAAAAAGTTCAGTGTGACACTGTATACAGGCAGCGGCAGCACAGGCTGACATTTTATTAATGCAGCCGAAATGTGTGTTAGCCCTGGGAGGCCGAATTTAGACGCGCCGAAAAATTGTAGACTTTCAGTATCCTTTTGCTGTACTCTGCAGAGAAGCTCCAGTCGAGCAGCGTTTTTTGTATGATTTCCCGGTCATGTTGGCTCGATATTGCACACCATGTGCAGCTAGTAAGCATAGACGGCTGCATTGCAGTACTGGGCTACATTATAGTCTACATGGCAATACAGGTCCAGGTAGCAGTAGTACTGGGCTGCATAATGATGCGGAATACTAGTACCTCTAAAAAAGAAATGATGGAGCATGTTATATTATGTTTTGCGAGGGTTAAGCACCACATAGTCTGTGCTAGGCCAAAGATGCCACTCTGACGGCTATATTATGATGTTTTTTTCCATCCGTGACAGGTCCTAAACGAATATCAAGCACTGATCTTGGTGAGATTGGTTCGAGGAAGGAACGAAGTTCCCTCACCTCCCTGAGCCTGCGCGGCCGTACAAAGTCATTTGAGCATGTGGCCAAGAGTCGAGTACATCCGATGGGTGCAGAAGAAGGTGAGCTGTAGTAAAATACGAACGAAGCAGTGTGGCGGGTAGCTAGGTATTGTCGTATTAAAGTTCCCCTGTCTAAAGATTATCATCGCTTGGAATGTGGAGCTTAGCAGTCACGTCTTCAAGGGGTGCCCCTTGGGGAAAGTATTGGATTTTTTGGCCACCAGGGCACATTTTAGCGCTCTACAGGCGCTCTGGGCAGACCATCCTGGACAAAAAGTGGTATGACCATGGTGTTACTGTTCGTACCAAGTGTGTCACCCTGGTGTTTCTGCGTTTCTGTTCTGTAGCTATCCTGGCCGCGAGCAGAAGTTCCCAGTCGAATACAAATCTTACAGAAGGAGAAGAAGCCGACTCAGCCTTGGGTGACCTGTCGCGACTGACGCGTGTCCTGTCTGCTCCCAACGTCGCAACCGAGAACTCGCCGAACGAGCCGAATCTCCGGCAAGAAGTCTTGACAAAGGACCGCAATGCAGTGAACAACGTGAGTCACAACTGCTACCTGGGTTCTCCATCACGTATTAGCAGTGTATCTATCTGATCTCTCTTTCTATCACACTGTTCTACAGTGCTGGCAACTGACATCCGACCCCTGATTCTCGTACTCGAGTGCAGTACCGATTCTAGCGGTGTCTCTATTTGCTAGTGTTACAATCCCATGCTGGGTGTTTGCAATGTGAGCACACCGCTCCAGGGGTCGGATTTCAGTTGCTGCCAGCACTTAATGTAATGATAGTTAGTTGTCTGATGCTTACCTATGGGCATGAAACTATTAGTTGCAGCGAATGATGCGTGGTGCTCTGTGCCGTGTGTACGATAGCTCTATTCGAATGATTATTGAGCACTCTACCGAGCCGGAGGACTCTCATATAATGATATAATTCTAACTGTAGTTGTATTGGTGTTGGTGTGACTTTTCTTACGTTTCATTGAGGAGCAAGACATTCAAAAAATTGATAATACCGTGCAATCCCTACAGACAAAGCAGGACAAAGGTGGAAACGAGAATATTGATCAACGACAGTGAACAAAGACGAGAGATAGCCAAAGCTCTTATTGTGATGAGTTCATTGTTACAGAAAATCTACAACACCTTCCAACTCCACAGCCAGAGTTGACTTTGTGTGTTTGTGTTTGTGCGTGCGTGTGTGTGTGTGTATGTGTGTGTGTCTGTGTGTGTGTATGTGTGTGTGTGTCTGTGTGTGTGTGTGTGTGTGTGTGTGTGCCTGTGTGTGTGTGTGTGTGTGTCTTTGTGTCTGTAGGCGCAGAGTTTGACGCAACTTGTCTCGTTTCCCAACACTGAGTTGGTACCGATCACACCATGGGCACGCTTTACCAAGCCTGGCAGTGTACGCAAGGTAGCCAAGAAACAGGTAGGAGTGGTGTTCTCTTTCTGTGTGTGTGTGTGTGTGTGTGTGTGTGTGTGTGTGTGTGTGTGTGTGTGTGTGTGTGTGTGTGTGCATGCGTGCACGCATGTGTGTAAGTGTGCACACATGCACGTGCTTGCGCGCACACGCATGCGCTTGTGTTGATAAGAATGAATTTTTCACAGTTTCTCAGTTGGTTAGTGTGTAAACCATTTGCTGTCCATGACATGTACTTGGACTCACTACCACGACCTGCCAACTTTGATTCGCCAGTGGTAGGTAGATCTCCCTCTAGGTGGGGTTGCCAATAGTGAGGTTGTATACCCTCAACATGCGCTGTACAGGGGTTAAAGATGGGCATGTTCACGTACGTATTCCCGTGCACAGGAAGATTGTGCCAGTCACACCAGCGAGTGCATCAATGTACATGCATGGGTTGCATACTTGCTGTAAATCTGTGCCGAGCGGAGAGGTTTCAAATCTGGTTGGAAGATGAGGAGACGTTCTAAAAACATCAAAACAAAATCAGGAGATCTACCGCCGCACACGGGGAATTGGCATTTTTCTGCAGCTCTTTAGTTGGAATAGTTTTTTGGCCGTTTAGGTGATGTCTGCACCCGGGTGGGTTCATCTGCGCTCCCATACCTCTCTGTACTTTCTTACCATCACTGCTCCTGTTCTGTTGTCGTGGTGCTGTTGACCAACGTGTAGGAGGAAACAATAGTGCTGGTGAAGGACGGCCGAGGTCTGGGATTCACGATCGTGGGTGGACGTGGCACACAGCGCGGCGACCTGCCGATCTACGTCAAAACCATCACGGTCGAGGGAACCGCGGCAGAGGACGGTAGACTGCTAGTGGGTGAGTTTACACTGCTGGAAGTGCCTTGTGTATATTATGTGCATGTGTAGTGGACAGTGTATGTTCCCGAGTCTTGTCAACCGGACACATTCGCAATATTCCGAGTGCACACACTTACTCCAGAGTCCTGCCTAAGAGCGGGAAGAAAGCCTTTCACCTAATCAAAACGTGTGTGTGTGTGTGTGTGTGTGTGTGTGTGTGTGTGTGTGTGTGTGTGTGTGTGCACTGTTACAATTCTTCTATACGAAGGCGATGAGATCTTGGCCATCAACGGACAGTCACTGGACGGCGCTACACAGGCAGAGGCAAAGCAAATATTCAAGGTATGCTCACGCTGTACACACAGCAAATATTCAAGATATGCTCACGCTGTACACACAGCAAATATTCAAGGTATGCTCACGCTGTACACACAGCAAATATTCAAGGTATGCTCACGCTGTACACACAGCACACATATTCAAGGTATGCTCACGCTGTACACACAGCAAATATTCAAGGTATGCTCACGCTGTACACACAGCAAATATTCAAGGTATGCTCACGCTGTACACACAGCACGTATTCAAGGTATGCTCACGCTGTACACACAGCACATATTCAAGGTATGCTCACGCTGTACACACAGCAAATATTCAAGGTATGCTCACGCTGTACACACAGCACATATTCAAGGTATGCTCACGCTGTACACACAGCAAATATTCAAGGTATGCTCACGCTGTACACACAGCAAATATTCAAGGTATGCTCACGCTGTACACACAGCAAATATTCAAGGTATGCTCACGCTGTACACACAGCACGTATTCAAGGTATGCTCACGCTGTACACACAGCACATATTCAAGGTATGCTCACGCTGTACACACAGCAAATATTCAAGGTATGCTCACGCTGTACACACAGCAAATATTCAAGGTATGCTCACGCTGTACACACAGCAAATATTCAAGGTATGCTCACGCTGTACACACAGCAAATATTCAAGGTATGCTCACGCTGTACACACAGCAAATATTCAAGGTATGCTCACGCTGTACACACAGCACATATTCAAGGTATGCTCACGCTGTACACACAGCAAATATTCAAGGTATGCTCACGCTGTACACACAGCAAATATTCAAGGTATGCTCACGCTGTACACACAGCAAATATTCAAGGTATGCTCACGCTGTACACACAGCAAATATTCAAGGTATGCTCACGCTGTACACACAGCACATATTCAAGGTATGCTCACGCTGTACACACAGCACATATTCAAGGTATGCTCACGCTGTACACACAGCAAATATTCAAGGTATGCTCACGCTGTACACACAGCAAATATTCAAGGTATGCTCACGCTGTACACACAGCACATATTCAAGGTATGCTCACGCTGTACACACAGCAAATATTCAAGGTATGCTCACGCTGTACACACAGCAAATATTCAAGGTATGCTCACGCTGTACACACAGCAAATATTCAAGGTATGCTCACGCTGTACACACAGCAAATATTCAAGGTATGCTCACGCTGTACACACAGCACATATTCAAGGTATGCTCACGCTGTACACACAGCACATATTCAAGGTATGCTCACGCTGTACACACAGCAAATATTCAAGGTATGCTCACGCTGTACACACAGCAAATATTCAAGGTATGCTCACGCTGTACACACAGCACATATTCAAGGTATGCTCACGCTGTACACACAGCAAATATTCAAGGTATGCTCACGCTGTACACACAGCAAATATTCAAGGTATGCTCACGCTGTACACACAGCAAATATTCAAGGTATGCTCACGCTGTACACACAGCAAATATTCAAGGTATGCTCACGCTGTACACACAGCAAATATTCAAGGTATGCTCACGCTGTACACACAGCAAATATTCAAGGTATGCTCACGCTGTACACACAGCACGCATAACAATGCACAACGGGCACATCACAGGACCATCGGAAGTAGTTTTGATTGGTCCGGTCCAATCCTATCCTTTCATTCAGTTTGTGTATTATATGGAGGGTACCCAATACGCATAACCTCCTCAGCAGTAAACCTGATTGTGTTGATGGACAACACATTGGTGCGGTGATGCCCTGACCAACCGGATCAGTTCCGACGGACTTGCGTTAGACTCTATACCCTAGACACTTGCTACCGGATGAAACTCAGAGTTAACCCTTTCACGGTCTCACATTTGAAAATCAATCACCGGTGATCGATTTTTTCAAACTATCGTAACTCAGTCAATTTTTGTTAAAACACTTTTTTCGTCCTCTTACTATTGTTTGAACTAGCTCTGCCTGCTACTACACTAGCCAACTAGCAACGAACTCTACCTGTCGGTATTGAGCACTCTCTTGGACAGCCTGGAGCCTCTCTGTTTCATTGTTTAGGCCCAGCACCATTCATAGCGCTTACACGACATCCAGGACTGCGTGAGTCCAGGCTGTCAAATATGCACTCTAGATCGGATTTCGGCTCGCAAAAGTGTAGCAAGCCTTTTATTGTGCAGCTATGTATACTGTGGTTGATGTTGATCACGTTCTAATGATGCGGTGCCCATTCATCGTTGTCTGTTTTGTCTACTGCAGAATGTGAAACGTGGAATTGTGACACTGGAAGTGAGACATCGGCAGCGCAACACGCACCGCGAGATTTTAATCACTCTCAACAAAGGTAGTGGAGAGTTCACTCATCATTTTGGCACAGCTGCTGGTTTTTATCTTGCTGCCTGTAGAGCTGCCATGAATTAAAATACATACTGCCACTTCAGTCAGTGTGATTAATTCTGGCATGAGTCGTGAGGTTAGGGAAATCATGCCACGAGTAGGTTCTGTTTGCAGTCAGATAACACGAGAAAAGGAATGTCAATGTGCAAAATTCTTGACCAACAACCAGCAGGTTAAATCTTACATCTGCTTTCAGGCATGAAGACCTGTTGAAGCGGTCTCATACAATCCTTATTGGCTAGAATTCCGTGCCTTCTTAACCCATTGAACGCTGATGACGTCTATAGACGTCATTGAAAATGCCCCCCATGCGCGGGATGACGTCTATAGACGTCATGGGATATATAGTGATTTCCGTCACTATCAGGTGTGTAAAAGCACTGTTAGTCAGTTGGATCATGATCCTGCCTCTTGTACGATAGGTCGTCGGTACGAATCCCGCTTGGTAACACTATGCGTCTTTTTTTCTTCTCTTTTCAGCGATCTTTCAGCTGCAATTGCACACATTTAGCGTATTTCACGCAATTTGAGCAAACTTGCGTCCCCTATTGTGAAGCGCTATTCTTTTCGGGGACTGTATCGATTCTGTCACCCTGTGGTTGATAGTCTTGGCAATCATTTGCAAAATATTTGAGGACCCAGTTGGCAGAACCCTGGAGTTTTAGAACTTGCTATTTGCCTTGTTTTTAGCATTTTATATGCAGAGTACATATATACATAGGCAAGGCCCAGTAGCACTGAATGGGTTAAAATGTAAAACACTCTCTCTTTCTCTCCTGTTGTCTCTCTCTCTCTATCTCCGTTCTCTCTCTCGCTCTCTCTCTCTCGTTCTCTCTCTCTCTCTCTCTCACACAC